AGTTACTGTTGTACTGTATGTACAAGGAACACACATAATATGGAGAACAGAACAAACTGTGTTCCATGTTGTTGTGTATATTGGGCTTATTTTTGGGCTTGATCACTCCATTGTACTTTACACTGTGGGCTTATTTTGGGCTTGTTTGTTTCATGAGACTTTGCAACACTGGTATGAACACAGGCTGATATTCCACGACCGTCTGCAGCCAGAAAGCACAGGCGGGAAAGTGAAGCATGAACAGAGCTTCCTCACATGTTAGCTGTCGTTGTGACCATGGAGTCTCACATTTGTCACAGCAAATTTTAAGCTTTGCAGTGCCATTAATTTAGCATTTTTTAATAAAGAGTCCAACAGGTAGTGTGCCCAGTGAGTACAGTGCTACAGTACATTGAGGGGCGTAATTTAGATGGTTTGTATGTCATAAAACGGTGTTGATAGGAAATGACAAAGTAATTTGACATGCAAAGTGTACAGTACAGTACTTTTTGTTTAGAAATTGGTAACAAACTTCTTATGTTAACATTCAGGCTCGCAATCTGTTATGGGTTGAGGTTAGGTGTGCCCAAGAATTATTCATGAATTTTCTGCCACCCCCAGAAGTGGAGACTGGAGTCACTGACTCGCAACTCGACGTGGACTCAAGTCAGACATCTGCCTTGTGACTTGACTTGGAAAAACTGATATCATAATGCAGGCAGCCAGGTCTAATGAGGCATAATGCAGACTGTGTGGGGTAGCCCAAACAGAGAGGCCATGCATGCAGTTTGCACACTAACCTGAATTAATGCTATGTTCATTTTTGCTTTGGATAGATACACCTCTGAAGAGTGCCGTGTATGTTGTCGGTTGAGCTACATTTTTCCTTGAGGATCTGACACTAACTGCAGCTTTAAATAATTCAAAGAAAAATATCTGTGACTAGAAAGCAAATGAGGTCTTTTAGTCTTGCATTATCTGCAGGAAATTGGACAGCATGGTGTACAGCTTTTTGGCAGAATTTTGTGTAGATGTATGTGGGAAAACTTTCTAAATGCTTATGAGACACTTAATTAAATGGACCTTTTCCTGCAGAACACAAATAAGACATGGTTGGCATTGTGGGAGTTTTTCATCTTCATTAACAGTTCTGCAATGTTGCCAGTGGTGTACTTAGCGGTGTGCTTGTTGCCAGGCAACAACAAAAAAAAATATTTCCAAGTCTACATTATAAAAAAGAAGAGATAAAATTGAACGTGTACTAAATGTGCAGTAAATGAATATGGAAGAAATCTCATAAGTTATTAAACCAATTAACCTAGCTATTTTAGAAAAGAATGTTTGTGTGTGTGTGTGTGAAAGAGAGGAGTTTGCATGAATGAATAATGAATAACTGTCCTCCTGTTTAACAGTCTGTTTTTCTTCACTGCATCTTCTGCTGCGTGATGATCATATATTCCTGCAAACCATGTTGAGAAATGACCTCTCCTCCTCCCAGCAGCCAAACCTCCTGCCCAGACCGAAAGACAAAGTTGTGAAGCTAATCTGACATTGTTAGCGATATGTAGACACACAGCAAGACGCCCCTCAGACATGAGACTGAAGTAGCATCTGGAAGGTTTGTACATGATCAAAATGCTCATGGTCTTTTTTCTAACTGGGGGGCAGAGCTCAGATGACTCACATTTTCAACCGTTGTTAATTTTCCACATGATTTCAACTTAAAGACCCAAAAGCAGACTAATGAGATGAGACACCTGGCATTTCCTGTGTCTGCAGCCTGGGCCTGTTTGTGAAAAGCTTAACACCCTCCTCTATGCTGTTTCCTACTGAATTACAAAAAGTGACAGTTTCATGACATGTGCCACTAAGAGATAGTATTAAGGACAAAGACGTACAGCTTACATACATCCTTCTGGAGATTATTAATGGTTTTGAATATTGTTCTTCTATCATCATTAGCTTTTTATGTCACTACCTGTTCATTGTTATTGAGCTAAGTGCTTCCTGTATCTTGGTTTTTGCATAACTTGCAGTGGAATGATGAAGTCAGTGCTTTTCTTTCTTTGCACACAGCCTAATTTTCTGTCTACTACAGTGTTATATTTTCACCAAAGGCATCCTAAAACAGTCATGTATGTGTGTATGTATGTGTGCATTTCAGCAATGACGTCCTAAAACAGTCACGTATGTATATATGTATGTATGTGTGCATTACCATGACAACAACAATAGTATTATAACTATTATTGTTATTGCATCCATTATGTATTATCATAACAATGGAACAGGTGTACCCAGCGGAAGTGAGAGGTTGTGAACAGCAGGTAGGAGGGACATCGCTCTGCCATCACTGTGGAGGAAACTTGAATCAGCTTTCTTTTAGCGGGATTTAGGATAAATTTTATAACTGGTGACCTAGAGGAAGTTATGGATCATCCAGATCTTGACTGTGGATACATTGAGGACAGGTACAAAGGTGGTGACTGAATACATTTCGAGATAAATCTGGGTGTCATCAGCAAAACACTGCAACTTAAGGTTGATCTGTCTAATGATGTAGCCCCGTCAGAGAGGACCAAGGTTGGACTAGTTTCATATGACATGGATCAAAGACTCTGATTAAGGTCTGAACGCAGCGTCACATGTGGCTGGTCTGCATTCAGCGTGGCGGAACTACAGTAGAATCAACTCACACATGCAGAATATTCAGAACTTTATTTTCAGAACATTATCATGCAGATCATCGGATTGTATGTCATCTATAATTAATATTCTGAGAAGGTGGGACTTTGCTGATCTTACATAAATTACATGCTATTGAAAAGTTAATACCTTTAATGAAGTATGAATAATAATTCAACTTATAATGCTACAAATTTTATTAAGTGTAATTAAACCTTTCAGGACTTTGGCTACAGAGTAGATTTATTGACGCTATCAGTACTTGTAATTGTGTTTTACAGTAGATATTAAAAGGTCACAGAGAGTGTGTACCCAGACGCATCGACTGTATTTTGTGCATATAGTATTAACACTGGCTTGTCAGCTATGTCATTTGTAACACGCAAGCATTTGAATGTAAGAGAATTTCCCTGTTAATAAGGAATCATTTAAGTTACAATTAAGGTCACGGAAGCCATAATTTCTATCTTGTTAACAACACTCCCAGACTCCTACCAGGTTCTCTTTAAAATGTTTATTTAAAGGAAGAAGACCTGAGCCCCCTTAACTGGTGTTTCTATCAGATGTACAAAAACAGAAACATTCTGAAGCAGATATCAGTGTACTAAATTGAATAAATAGCCTAGAAGACAGTTGTTTATATGAGTGCCAAACTAGCCTGTCCTTGTAAAGTACAGCTGTACCGTCCGTCCAATCCAGCATGCCGCTTAGGTGGGATCCAGCGAAGTTCCTGTGGCCGCTCTCGTATGGTACAGCTGTCAGCATTGCGTGAGACGGGTTATATGGTCCCGCAGCGTTTCAGGGTAGTAGGCGGTAAGAGTCAGATTACACATTGCGTGAGACGGGTTATATGGTCCCGCAGCTTTTCAGGGTAGTAGGCTGTAAGGAATCCACTTGCAGAGTCTCCGCAGTTTCAGAAAAATGGTGGTTTATCGAACAGTAAAAAATAATATAATGTAATACAGTGTAGACACACACCGGGTATTGAAAGGCAGCTCAAATACAAATTAAGGGCAGTTCTTCACCCCCCTTTATACCCCAAAAGACCCTCCCCAACAAGGTCCTGTGTGTAGGTGTTGTGAGTGAACCTCCTGGCCTGTGAGGAGCCTGGGGCAGGGATGGGGCAGGACAGGGTGGAGACTTTCTGATCATTGTAATTCAGTTACTTCCTTATCAACCTACTGGAACCCCATTCTATCCCTGACTTCCCCCATGATCATACTGTAATTGCTAATACTGTCTGTATCCAAGTGATCAACCAAGAACCTTGGGGCATCTTTACTGCTTTTCCTTACATAATCTCCCCTTAAACCTTGAGCCTCAGTGTGATATCAGTGAAAGGTTTACCCAGAGCACAGTACCAGCATTACACTGATCAGTGATCGACACACAAGGGGCGGATAGTGGAGGTCGTAGCGGTGTGGTTGTCCGTCTCCATAACCTACACCCTACTCTGTGTCATGCACACTTTCCTCTCCACATATCCAAGGTCCCTTTTCCGCTGTTCCCTTGGGAACCTGAGATAGCCCATCAAGGCCACACCCAGCAGCAGTACCACGACACATGCAGTGATAACTGCTTTGAACTGTACATTCCAGTACATGTCCTGGCAGTTCTCTTTCAGCGTCGACATCCCACTGATATAGTTACTGACTTGCTCTGTCAGTTCCTTCTCACGCTCATGCATTCTAAGAAGCTAAACCTTCAGTTGCTGCTCAACCTCTTGCAGGTCTTGAATCCTGTTTGTTTCAGGCACTGGTTCAGGCTGGAGGAATTCTGCATGAGGGTCGTCTAAGTAAAGATCAACCCTATTCTTTGTATAGTACTTTTTTTTTTCCGCCTCCAATGTCCATTGGGTAGATCACCTGAATGCATGATGTCATTCCCACCGATATTACAAGCCTCTAAACTTTCTATCGCTAACATTGCTATTCCGTCCTGTACTGTCATCCCATGCTCTCTATGAACCTTTGTCAGGGTGTGTGGTACAGTTACATAGGTTACTTATGTCGAATAAAGCTTTTTACCAATCCAGTTACACAAAGATCTCTGAACAGCAATTTTTGCTTGTTCATTGAATCTTTCCTTAGAATTCATTCCATTATGAGAATCATGGAATTCATTCCACAATGAGAATTATTCCAATAACTATGAAAAACCAACACTTAAGGGCCTGCTTTGTAAATGCTGTTATAGGTACGCTTCTCAGCACAGCCGGAGCCACGTTTCATGACTCTTTGATGTCTGAGCTGTCTGCAGAGACAGCTCTATATCCAGGAAGGAACTTCAAGCGCGTCTCACGTCTCTGGTAACAGATTCTGACTCGGAGTCGCATGTTCAACATTAGCTTTTTTTATTCATTCATACACAAGGGCTGAGATGCAGGTTCAGTTAATGAAACATAAAGGTGACCTTGAATCCAGAATGCATAAAAGAGCACCAAATCATTCAGCAGCCAGACTGTGGACTTCATATTAAATTGTCACTGTAAAGATACAGTAGCCAGGGCCGCCTGCTGTCTCAAAGCGAGTCAATCTATGCCCTTTTCCAGGCCGTCAGTAATACTCGGTAGCCTGTACAGTCTAGCAGTGTTACAATTGCTTTAAGAAACGTAACAATATGATGTCAGACAGTGATGATGTAAGAAGACAACATGGTGTTAGAAACATGGAACACACGCATGATACTGTCAGGACGGGAATGTCCTGATGTTTCGAGGTTAGTAACAAACCGGCATCTTTTTCATTCAACTTTATGGAGTATTGTTAGACTGGTGTGTCGGGCAAGGCAAATTTTGATATGCATGTTCATCCACCAGAAAGAGCAGTAAGGACGACAACGTCATTGTTATGGGTCAGTTTGGCTGAGATAAAACAAAGATCTCACCTTGTGAGGAAGGAAAAAGGAAGTTTGTCTTTTCACAGTAATAAAGACAATCTGCAAAGGGTTATTTAGAATAAATAACAGTAATAAGAGAAATAATTATATGGGTCATCAAAATGATTAAAAAAGAAAAACAAAAATGCTATCGTTTTGCCTTTTCATTCGTCTTTGCGCTTAGAAGGAGTCCATGGCCTTGAACTCGCTCAGCGCCTGAACGGGCGAGATGTGCTTCTTCTGAGAGCCGCGTCGCACCCGGGTCTGGCACTCTTCAGGCTTCTCCCTCTTCACCAGAGGCTTCTTCTCCGGAGCTTTCATGCGCCAGGAGACCACGGGTGAGTTGACAGCAGCTGTTCCATAAACCTTCTGGTACTTGGTGGAAGCCACGTACGATGCCTTCACAGTGAGAACGACGGCATTCATCAGGTTTTTGGCGGCCTGGATGAGGGACGTGGCGCTGTCCAGCTTGGAGAGGAAGAGAAGTAACATGTCAGCCTTCTGCGTGCCGATGCCTTTTCCTCTCAGCGCTCATTATCCTTCACATAAGTGACATTATGAACACATTCTTTAATGAAGGCACACAGAATGACATACAGCTAATGTTAAGGCCATACACAGTGCAAAGCAGGAAAACACAACTAGGTAATGTTGGTAGCTAAAACGAATCAGCATTTTCTGAATATTTATATTAGCTTGTTAAATTCCTGTTCAAACAAAACAAGACTGCATGCATGCATTCATACTACACATTTCGAAAGGCCAAAATGAAAATTATTTCTGACTAAGCTACAAATCATACCTCCCTTTTGAAAAAAAATTATTGTGCCACAAAAATTAACATTGAGCGGTACATCTGTGCATGTGAATCTGCCACTACTGTGTGGTGTCCGTACCCCTCTGTGGTCCCTCTAGTGAGGATTTTGTGGAAGAAGCCATTTCTGGGGTCACATTCAGAGACACGGTGCTGGTTTAATGAGCTTCTGGTGGGACAGACTGACCTCTACACCGAGTGTAAATAAGAGCAGAAGGATGCTTCACTCCAGTGCAGTGAGGATACAAACCCGACAGTGATACAGCCGCACATCTGTCGCAATGGTCTAAAGAGAAACTCAGATGCAAGTGCTTTGATGGCATTACGTACAGCCTTAGACGGCCATGGAAACCCTGAATGATCTCTGAGACAGTGTGGCAGCAATTACAGCATTAACCGTAAAAGGCCAAATGAAATGTAAAAATAAATTAATCATCTTTGTTTTATTTTAGAAATGCAATATTTTTAGACCTGCTATAGTATAAAATATTTGTATAAAATGTTTGTGTTTGGGGTGAAAGCGTCTAATGATTAGATGTTTCTCTCTAAGCACGTCTTGAGGGATGCTGGGGAGGACGTTCTGCTCCCGTCACAGACTGCTGGGGAAATGCGCCTTTATGACAGTCAGGTTTATCATCATGCCGAGAGGCTTTGCTTTTAATAAAACACTGACTTTCATCTGCTTTCTTCCACACTGACTTCAGTTGAACCTTAATTGTAACTATATCATTATTTCTGCCTGGATGTTTTTGCTGAAAATCACATTTTAATGTATTTTAAGTTACTCAGCAGTTTCATTGCTGGATGACTTGCATGATTTAAGGGGGGGTTTGTCTTTGACCTGTAGCCCTCTTGCCCCCTTTTCATCATGTGATTCCCTCTGGGCCTTTAGTTAGCTTGACAGGGAACAAGAGGCTGCTCTTGCCTATACTATGCTATATACAACATTGAAAAATATACAGTAGTCAATATTTGTTTTATTTTTTACTTGATTTAAAGAAATACAATGTTCTTCTATTCAGCCACAGTAAGGTACTCCAAGCTCTTCTATTCAGCTACAGTAAGTTACTCTGAGCTCTTCTATTTAGCTACAATAACAGTTACTCTGAGCTCTTCTATTCAGCTACAGTAACAGTTACTCTGAGCTCTTCTATTCAGACACAGTAAGGTACTCCGAGCTCTTCTATTCAGCTACAGTAAGTTACTCTGAGCTCTTCTATTCAGCCACAGTAAGTTACTCTGAGCTCTTCTATTCAGCCACAGTAAGTTACTCTGAGCTTTTCTATTCAGCCTCGGTAAGTTACTCTGAGCTCTTCTATTCAGCCACAGTAAATTACTCTGAGCTCTTCTATTCAGCCACAGTAAGGTACTCCGAGCTCTTCTATTGAGCCACAGTAAGGTACTCCAAGCTCTTCTATTCAGCTACAGTAAGTTACTCCGAGCTCTGCTATTCAGCCACAGTAAGTTACTCTGAGCTCTTCTATTCAGCCACGGTAAGTTACTCTGACCTCTTCTATTCAGCCACAGTAAATTACTCTGAGCTCTTCTATTTAGCTACAGTAACAGTTACTCTGAGCTCTTCTACTCAGCCACAGTAAGTTAATTTGAGCTCTTCTAGGTGCATTCAGCATAATTATGATGTGCGATTTTGGACCCAAAGGTTAAATAGAGGAGGTGCGAAAATTGATACATGTGGGACCCACATGAAATATCTCTCCAATTCTTTTCATAATTATCCAACATAACAAAATAGGCCCTTCCTTCCAAATAGGACTTATACAGGTAAAACTGGGTTTGATTCAAGGTTCAAGGTTACTTTGTTGTCATCGGCAGCTTCATACATGTACAAAGAGTGATGAAACAACGTTTCTCCATGGTCCCTGTATGGAAATCATCAAAAATTACATTCTAAAAACTAAGCTGATTGTAAGAAGCTTTTTCAGTAATCTTGCCAATGAAAGGAAGATTAAAAACAGCCCTGTAATTGTTCAGAAGGGAGGAATCTAGATTGCATTTTTTTTTTTAAAAAAGAGGTTTAATAACTGCAGCTTTTAAAGATTTTGGGAAAACGCCTGACAACAGTGAGGTATTTACAACTAGCAGCACGTCTTGCTCTAGAGAGGTGAAGACATTTTAAAAAACAGGCTGGCAGAATATCAAGGCAACATGTAGTAGATGTGAGATGCCCTATTAGACTTCCACGAGTTCCCAATTAAGAATGCTAAACTGACATAATATGTATACTGTGTTCGTATGGAGGTGTGAAGATCAAATCAGTGTTTTTCACTACGGTACTAATGAATAATCTTATGTTTTAAATCTTACTGGAAAAAGGACATAAGGTCATTGCATTTTTAGCAGATGTGAGCTCATAGACTAGTTGCTTTGGGGGATTGGTTCATTTATCAACAATGGAGCCAAGTATTATTGACGATTCTATTAATAATGGTTGAAAGAAAGCACTGTCTTGCTTTACATAGTTATGTAGCTGCAATTGAGAACACAAGTCTGGTGTTATTTTGTAGGCAGTTTGGTAGCATTTTAGAACATTCCTTCATCTGAGAAAATCTTCCGCAACATCCATCCTTCTGCAAAAATTCCTATTAAGAAAGTGAATGGGATTTCAGAAAATCAGCAAAAATAATGTCTATGGTTGTAAAAAACCATCACATTTTGTAGTACAAGATAATTTGTTACGGGTGGTATTTCGACAGATTGTAATGTTTCACGTAGGAATTCGTATGCTGCTAACGTTTTGCTAAAGGAAGTGAATAATACAACTAATAATTATAATAATGAAAACTAATATTATTCATGAAAACTAATAATAATAAATAAATAAACTAATAATACACAGATTTCCTAACATGATCCTAGCATTTGCTGATCTGAGACCAGTTTTTGCCGAACCTGCATTCTCCTGAAAGAAGCCTGTTGAAACATTTGGACCACATCACCATACATCTTAGCTGTTTCTTATATTTTTTTTATCTTAATTATTGTATAAAACTTAGATAATATTTGATATTTTTTCTTCCTACTTTGTATATAACTTTGAACATATTTTAGCTCAGTCTTCGTGTAAGTAAATTTCCGCATTTCTAAGTACAGTAATTTGTTGTGATGTTGTACCAGAAACATGGCTCATTGCTATGTTCTCTTTTTTGAATGTTTACGGCTGTACAATTAATTTTTAAAATGTTTATTGGAATTCATTTGGATTGGATAGTGAAATGAAATCATTTGGGATATAAACGTTCTGAAAGGAGATTTTCCCATATTACCTAGACAGTGTGTGGCTCACACAGTTTCCACCTCGCTCTAAACATTTCCGATTTAAAGAATGATGCTACAGCACAGGATGGAATTGCCAAATTAGATTGCTCATTAATTTATTCATTTGCAGGGGTGGCTAATGAACAAATGAACTGGCAATGATAAACTGAGTAAAGGGGGAGGGGGGGTGTCTCAGATCAGCAATACTACTCAAGCCTTCTGTGCATGAAGTCAGGTAAGTGACTCTTAAATGGTGAGAGAGAAGAGGGTCCCTAACCATACTATTCTAGATATTCACACTGTTACTGATAATTGAGTCCAGTGTGTGTCCTTGAATGTGTTTAGGTATAATAACATGTTGTTAAACACATCAGTACCGGATACCCTGAGGTCTTCCATTTGCCTACATTAATAGTTACTCTTAGCTCTTTTGCTGAGCTTTTCTATTCAGTTACAGAAAGTCAAATCTAAGCAATGTCTTGCTGATGTCATTTTGTCATTGTCAATTTTATTCAGGTTAAATGATTTATAGCTGCCTCCCGGTTTAATAAAGACCTACTAGTGAGCAGAGAAGCCCTCTGTGTGTTTCCTTAAGCTGCAACACCTGTGAATCAGATATCATGTCTCTGCCGGAGTGAATGAAGATGACCGGAGTGCAGTTACCCACGTCAGCCACTGAGGGTGTACAGAACAAAGCCTGAAATCGCTGTGTAACACTGGAACACATGGTCATTGCTTATTCATTATATCGACTCATTTTCCTAGTAAGAAAACAATCCATATAGCATTTTTGACCATCTTTAGAGGAATTCCAAATTCCCAACAATATAGCAGAACCAGAAAGATCCCCCTGTGTTTGAAGGACTTTTTGCAGGGCACGAGTAAGCAGGCACAGGTATGTAAGAGAATAACTAACACTGTCCACATTTATTTAAAGCAGCACCTATTTTGATGCATGTTGCTAGGATACATCCATGATTCGGTGCTATAACAAAGGCAGCACAGATTTCAGGCGACAGCCATCTATTCCTGGAACTTATTCGTTTATTTCATCAGATGAGACACAGGAAATGAGGCAGTGCCGTCCATCTTGTAATGCTGCATCGATCTGCATATACATCACGGTACCATTGCCATCGTGTAACAGTGATGACTCACCCCCGAGACAATGAGCTCCCCTCCAAGGTTCTGCACCTCTGCTTTCACCTTGCTGCAGATGTTCAGCTGATGGCAGTAGAGAGCAATTCTCTGCAGGTAGGCAAGAAGATCCTGCTTGCAGGCTGAATCAGGACACTGGAAGACAAGGTGGCATTTGTAGTGGTGAGGAGAGCATGGGACATTGAGCATGTCTTTACAGTGAGCACAGTGACAGCTAGGGTAAGGGCAACTGCTTACAGTGACAGGGTAAAGGGCAACTGCTTCCAGTGACAGGGTAAGGGCAACTGCTTACAGTGACAGGGTAAAGGGCAACTGCTTCCAGTGACAGGGTAAGGGCTACTGCTTACAGTGACAGGGTAAGGGCTACTGCTTACAGTGACAGGGTAAAGGGCAACTGCTTACAGTGACAGGGTAAGGGCAACTGCTTACAGTGACAGGGTAAGGGCTACTGCTTACAGTGACAGGGTAAAGGGCAACTGCTTACAGTGACAGGGTAAGGGCTACTGCTTACAGTGACAGGGTAAGGGCTACTGCTTACAGTGACAGGGTAAGGGCAACTGCTTACAGTGACAGGGTAAGGGCAACTGCTTCGGCAGAAGCATCAGAAAGAGCTTCACCAATCCCAGATGCATTGACAATATCCCTGCTAAGTTGCTGAATCACGGAGGATACTTCACACCACCCCTTCGCTTTTGTTCTCAAACCTTCCTGTAACTTTTTTCCCAGACCACCCAATCGCTTTTTTCTGACCACCCCGTCACATTTTTCCCACATCATCCTGTCACTTTTCCTCCCACATCATTCTGCTACTTTTTTTCTCACATCATTCCGCCACTTTTTTCTCAGACCACCCCATCACTTTTTTCTCAGACCACCCCATCATTTTTTTCTCAGACCACTCCATCACTTTTTTCTCAAACCACCCAATCACTTTTGTTCTCAGTCCATCCAGTCACTTTTTTCTCAGACCACCCCATCGCTTTTTTCTCAAACCACTCCATCACTTTTTTCTCAGACCACCCCATCACTTTTTTTCTCAGACCACCCCATTGCTTTTTTCTCAGACCACCCCATCACTTTTTTTCTCAGACCACCCCCTCTACTTTTTTCCTCACATCATCCTGCCACTTTTTTCCCAGATCACCAGATCACTTTTTTGCCTGTTGTGTCTTTTATGGTGTTCATCATGTAAACTGGTTTTTAAATAGCAGAACCTTAAGCAACATGACTATTTGCAGGTTTTTACAGTAGTGTTTTGAACTGATCTCACCAGTGGGTAAGAATGTGTTGTAGTGTATGTGTTTTTGTGGGCTTTTGTGTTATGCCTGAAAGCAAATTTTGGTTTTTCCGCAAGATAACGTGGTTTTGAATGGAGAATTTGGTTTTGACTTGCAAGATTTTGGAGGTGAGTGTGCAGTTATGTGTGTGTTTAGAGTTTTGGAAAATTCAGGCATGATTTCAAGAAATGCATTTTAGCAACCAAGAAAAGCTGTAATAAATACTCAAAATAACTTTTTCACAAAGTAATTATTATAAATATGATAACCTTTGGTTTTGGGTTTATGGTATATATACTTAAAAAATACAGTGTACATTGTGGACTACTAAATGTATGTGCATGTTTGCATCTGTGTCTGGATGTGCATATCAGTGTCTACATTTATCTGCAAGTGCATGTTCATATCCTTGTCTGCATGCATCTGTGTCTGCATGCATCTGTGTCTGCATGCATCTGTGTCTGCATGCATCTGTGTCTGCATGCATCTGTGTGTGGATACATGTGTATCTGGGCGTGCGTGTTTGTATCTTTCTGTGCACACATGTGGATGTTCGTGTGTCTGCATGCGTGGTTTACCCACCACTCAGAACCCTTTCATTTTTGCATTCGTCTACGGTTACCAAGGCCTGTTCTGATCTACAATTATTATAATTTTATATGCATTGTTTAGAGCAAAGATATTCAGCATGAGCTGATTTAGGCTACCTGGTCTGCCACAGCTCGGGCCAGCTTGTCCATCCTGGATCCTGCTTCTGCGATCTTTTTCGCAGCATTAATCACATCTGAGGAATTCTTCAGTGGGCCTTTGCCTCTGTGACCAAGCAAAATGTAAAGCGAATGAGATTTTTCAGACCAATTATGAACAAATTATTGTTCTGCAGAGTGACCAAAGTTTATAAATACTTTTTAGTTCGGAAGGAAAATAGTTTTCCTATTGTGCCAAATTATGGCCTGTTGGCCTGATCTATGAATCAGCTGCTCGTTGTAATAGCAGCGCATCCACTTATTCATGTCTGAGTTGTCCAGTCCCACGCACCTGGTGAAATCCGTCATCTCCATCATTATCATGCACATCTGCTTGGCCAGCACAATTATGTCATTTCCATTATCATCCCACTTGGCCACCTCGGCGTCCAGCTTGCACTTCTCCTGACGGAAGCTCTCCACCTGCTCAGCGATCTTTGCCTTCTCCTCCTGTGGTAGCTGAGCCATGATGGCCTGAGATGGACGGTTGGGATTGGACAGGAAGGGGACCGGATGAAATAGGTCAGAATCAGAATGGTGGCAATTTCTCCAAAACAACATCCCAAAGAGTTCACAGATTGACTTGACCAGCAGGTTTGAGGAACACAGCTGTGTTTTGTGGTTTAGCGAGATATGTCACTGTTTGCTTTCTGCCGATTACCCCTTATTATCAAAATCTAACGAATGACAGAGATTCAATGTGATAGAATTTACAGACGTGGACAAATTTGTTTGGTTCCCTTTTCAGCTTATTCAAATCATGCTTCATTCAAAGTCATTCTTAAGCAATTGTCTAATGTACACCTGCATGCCTTTAGTATGTGACAGAGTAAACCAATAAAACTGTGAAAATAAATGATTTGTTGTTTATTTTACAAAGATATGCTAAAATAGTATGAAACAGATTTGTTGGTACCACTAAAGAGACTATTTATCCTTACATTATAGTCATGTTTCAAACTAACAGTTTAACCATAATTTGTATCACAGGTGCCTTCAAGCTTTTCATCGGCCCTTCAGCCTATTTAAAGGGAAAGAACATGCTACTGTGTCGTTTGGTATCATTGTGTGCACCACACTGAACATGGACCAGAGAAAGCAAAGGAGAGAGTTGTCTGAGGAGCTCAGAAAGAAGATTATAGATAACCATGTTAAAGGGAAAGGCTATAAGACCATCTCCAAGCAGCTTCATGTTCCTGTGACCACAGATATCAATATTATTAAAAAGCATAAGGTTCATGGTACTGTAGCCAACCTCCCAAGACGTGGACGCAAGAGGAAATGCAACCCCAGGTTGATCAGAAGAATAATGTGGATGGTAGAAACCAAGGAAACCATCAAACCATTCAAGCTGAGCTCCAAGGTCAAGGTATGTCACTTTCTGATCTCACCATCCGTTGCATTTTGAACAATAAGAAGACCCAGGAGGGTCGCCACTATTGACAGAAAACATAAAAAAACCAGAGTGGAATTTGCCAAAATGCATGTTGACAAGCCCCAAAGTTTCAGGGAGAATGTCCTTTCGACTGATGAGACAAAACTGGAGCTTTTTGACAAATCACATCAGCTCTATGTTTATAGAAGGAAAAAATGAAGCTTTGAATGAAAAGATCACCACACCTACTGTGAAACATGGAGGGGCTCGGTTTTGTTTTGGGGCTGCTTTGCTGCATCTGGCATGAGGAACCATGAATCTCTTCAGGGCTCAATGAAGTCTCAAGACTAACGAGACATCCTGGAGCGAAACATACTGCCCAGTGTCAGAAAGCTTGTTTTTTTTGGAAGGATACAAATTTGTCCACGTCTGTATATAAGGTATACAAATACTTTTTTCCTCTTTATTTTGTTTAGTAATAGATGTTTTGATCTGGGGACAACCTGGACCATAATGAATTATGTATTGCAGTTACTAGGACTGTAGGCATTTATTAAAATATATGAAGGCATGTATTATTAAACGGCTGTGTGTTGCATTGCTTTCCTCTGCATAATCATATCACAAGTGGATTATGAACATCTGCAGATACATGTGTGCATATTACCTCTGTAATTATGTAAGTATGATGAGTGAGTAATGATACACTATAGCAGCTTTAACATGTTAACTAAGCCTTTACTAGTCTGGAGTCTCACCAAGTTATAATCACTCCACACACTGTTCTTTTGTAGATGCATGATTTGTTGCATGACAACATATTTTAAACATTAGACAATGTTTCTGCAGACATCACACTGGCTGTAAAATGTATTATTTGCACTGTAAATTTCCTACCATTTCCCATTTTAACAGAATATTAGTTTTCTCCATATGCTGTCCAGCCCTGTTTGCAGTGTTTCTTCAGAAATGGCATCTTGTATCTCATACAAATTTAAACATGATGATAGTAGAAAACATGAAAGAGATTATAATAATCTGAATGATAAGAACCACATATTTGTAATTTTTTAATGAACATAATCCCTAACCCTGAATAATCCATCCATCCATCCATCCATCCATCCACCGGCCACTCATCCTGCCCAGGGCCACAGGGTCAGGCTTGGGGTCTGAGTCCCAGCCTGTGAGTGTGCAGCACTCACTCTGGCGCTCTGCCCAGCGATGAGCTGGTCATCCTCCGTCTGCACGCTGGTGCGGCTGCGAGCATCATAGTCCTCCTGCTCGAAGTCGGAGTCGTCCTCCAGCTCCTCTGGTGTCTGGCCAGCAGGGATACATAAAGACGGACAGTCACACATTAGCCCTGTGATGCTCCGTCAGCTGGAGTCCAGGTGTAACTGCAGAGCATCTGCCTCGAGGTGCGGGTTCTGAGACAGAGCAGTGTCTGGTGCTGCAACAGATGACCTCTGCTGTAACAGTAAGAATTCCAAAGGAGAGTCTTCTTAATATACTCCTGCATGTTATCAGCAACGTTAACAAAGGGCACATCTGAGTGAATGAATTTGTGTGGGGCCTGAGTTTTGGGGCCCCCTCTTGCCCACAAACAGACACTACAGTTAATATAAAAAAATTCCCTATTTAGAAGATGTTGAAGCAACATGTTATGTTAGCCGGATAGCTAGATACCATCTTCTTACTTTATTCACTAGTTATTTATTTTATGTTTTGCAACCTTTGAGGGGATGCAGGGGCCCCAAAGTGACTTTTTGATTGGAGTCCCAGAAACAACAAGTCTGCCCCAGTACGGCTCCTAACCCAGGCCGAGTCTCAGTGCCCCTCGGTCTCCAACCGGACTCTACAGTGGCTCTTCAGTCACTGTAACATTGACATCACTCTCTGCACACTGTGTACAAGTCCCCATAATCCCATGAGTACTGCTTACATCAGTTCCTACTGTTCAAATTGTCGGTGCATTTCTCAGGTCTCTTGCACATTGTGCTTATATAGCACAACACAATCACTTTTACTTTATCACTTATGTTAGATTATGTACATATTTCATATATTTTTGATTATATATTGTTATTTTTTATATATTTTACTATTCTCTTATGCACAGCTACTCTGAGTGGCCAGGGTTACATTTCACTACATGTTGTATGTGTACAACTGTGTACGTGACGAATAAACCTCTTGAATCTTGAATTTAACATGCCTTTCAATATCATTAATAGAAAGGCACAAAATATCAAAGAGTTGGGAATTAATTTAAAAAGCGGCAGCTGGAAACATGAACAACTTCTTATTGTGCTCATTATGATGTCATAATGTATTCATGTGCCAAGGCTGGTCCATCTCTGGGCCTAAAGCTAAATAGTGTTTATTTCTCTACTGTTAAACATTCATAATGGTTTAGCTACGAGACCCAGAAACAACTCATTCAGAATCATTCCAAATTAGATTGAAATGAGCTGCATCAATGCGTGCAGTAAATAACACAGAATTTGTAAGCATAGTTTATTCTGCAGTACTATTTTTAAGATGTATTCAAGAATGAATTAAAAAACAATCAGAGCAGAATGAAGGCCTGTAGCTCAGCCCAAGACATATGGAGAAAAAAGCTGAGCTGAGATGGTCAAAGGAACATCAAAGCCACGTTTTACATTATTCACCAGCAGCAGCTCATTTCCCATAATTTGCTCTTGTAGCCACACTCGGAGCACTTCCAAAATATTAATGTTTCATAAATTGTGTATGTTGCTGCAAAAGAGGCATTGGACCCATCTGTCACAGGAAAGCCTCGGAGACACAGGAAAGCCTCCAGTTAACATCTGAGCATTTCTCACTAACTCCAGCGGTCCAGGCTGAATTGCTGAAGTAAAAAGAGGATGTGCGCTCTTGAATGCTAAGTTAATGCATAAATATATCATGGAAATTACGTGTTTTACTGTGAGTCATTCTGTAGAGCAGAAGTAGGCTGGATAACAGCAGAAAGGTGAATGGCTGACGCTGTAAGACATACCCTGATCATGAGGACCGCCTTCCTGATGTCACGAACGCCGTCGTACACAAGGCGGGAAGCGTCGATGAACTCATTCTCCTCAAAGGTCTGCGAGGGGGTCGTGCTCAGTGCTTCAATCGCAACCTCAACTTGTTCAGCAAAACGGGGCATGACTGGATCACAGGGGACGGAGAGAGAGTTGGCAGGTGTCATTCAGGGTGAGCTCTGTCCCCACCCCACACGTCAACGCACCTTTGGAAAATGGCTTGCACACCTTTTCACACTAATGAGGCCTCAATGTGCCAATCAGTTGCTTCACCTTGTCTGGGCACAATGGGGTAGATATCAGGGACAACTATGGGCCTGCCTGATGGGTGTCACTGGGCTGCGCTGGCGACACTCTGCATGTCCTAAGTGTCATACACACCTGGGGCCATCACATTAGCACCACTTCCCTCAGTGAGGAACAAATTCCACCATTGAAACATATTAGTGAAGACATTGGAACAGCCTTTAGGATGTCAGTGACGTTCATCTGTCATTATGTGTAAGTGTCTGCTTGGCTGTGATCACATGGTACAAGGTGTGTGATGTCAGCTGCATATGTGTGCATATGGGCAGGACTTCAGGCAGGAAAACTAGTCATAGCCAGTGATAGCACAACGTGGTCAGGCCAGGCAGCTGGTTTTTCCTAAACTTATTCATGATGTCACTCATCATCTTTATCACAATCATCATCATAAGCCATCATCATCATCATCACCATTATCATCATCACATCATCATCACCACCACCACCATGACCATCTTCAATATCATCAACATCATCATCACCATCTTCACCATCATCAGCATCACCACCATCACCATCATTAGCAGCAGCTGCATCATCAGCAGTAGCATCACCACCATCACAGCAGCATCTCCATTATCATCATCATCATCATAACTACCATCTTCACCATCATCATTATCACCAACATCACCATCTTCTCCATCATCATCATCATCATCATCACAATAATCACCATCAGTACCTGCATCAGCATCACCACCACCACCAACAGCAGCATCACCATCATATCATCACCACCACCATCATCATCACTATGATCACCACCATCATCATCACTAACACCATCATCAGCACCATTATCATCATCACCATAATCATCATCACCACTGTCACCATCATCATCATCATCACCATTATCATCATCACATCATCATCACCACCACCACCATGACCATCTTCAATATCATCAACATCATCATCACCATCATCATCATCATCATCTTCCCACTGATTCTCCTGTTAATACCTCAGGTCAGACAAGGCCTCTCTCCATGGCCACAGACTCTAGCTCACTCTAGGGGATCCCCAAATGGTCCAATGAACCAGATGTTCCAACCTCCTTTGGAAGCCATCCAGGTGGCCTCCTAATAAGATGCCCAAACCACCTCAGCCGACTCCTCTCAGTCTGAAGAAGCAGCTACTCTGTGCATATTACTCCTAGATTTAAAATTCAAGCTCTTTTACGTCTGGAAAAAGGGTTGAAATTGCCCACCCCTCCAGTTACCACAGTAACCATGAAGAGCAGCCCACAGGCTACAGCTTCAAGGTAGCCAGTGGACTTTGTTCTTATGCATTTAAATCCATTGCTTACATCAGTCATATGACTTAACTTGGCTAATTCATTTAGAATAGCTAAAAATGTCAATTGGGTGAATCGCAATAAGCAGACTACAAGCCGGTACCTTTCTCAAGAATACACAGCCTCTCTCTCCTTGGAACAAACATAACTTAGATTAGAAATCTGCACTCAGGAGGATGAGCAGCAAAGGGATTTTCCCCTGGGCAAAAAAAATATATATCTACTTACTTTCTCACTTACCAACTATTCCACCCACCTACCAGAGCAACCAACACCATGAAAGCACTCCAGACATAAACTAAATAAATAATGGTCTCTGAGAGGATCCTGGTTGGTAATAGAGGTTATCAGCAGATCATTTAAAGGGACGCCCAGTGCCGTGTGTTTACTGGTCTCTGAGAGGATCCTGGCTGGTAATAGAGGTTATCAGCAGATCATTTAAAGGGACGCCCAGTGCCGTGTGTTTACTGGTCTCTGAGAGGATCCTGGTTGATAATAGAGGTTATCAGCAGATCATTTAAAGGGACGCCCAGTG